ATATATATATATGTGATGCGAGAAGTTGATTGAAGTCGGCGATGATGGAAAGATAGCGAGAGCGTGAGAAAGTAACTCAACACGCCACAAACCGTTCACCCCTAAGCCCCGCCCCTTTCCACCCGACCCCAGTAATTAGAGATTGTCTAAAGATATTACTTTGTCATGAAAAATGATCAATACTGTCCAACCCTGGTGCCCAATTCAATGCTGTTTTATTATAAACCTTTACTTCATAGTCAATTTTGCATTCCACAGTTGTTTATGACAAAGTCTGGGATTATTTGCAAGCTGTAGCATTAGCAGTTAGCTGCAAGACTTCTGGTGCAACCTTCCAGCAGTAGCAGTAAAATATGTTTGTATAAAACTATGTGAAATTGACTTTGGTGTGAGTACTTTTAAAGCAGTGCTTGGATGATCCACTATGATTTTTTTTTTTCAAATAGGGATGTTAATGATCCACTTTGGTCTGGGCTCTGACCAACCATTAGCTCATTGTAATGCTCAGATTTAGACTCCATTTCTCCAATCTGAAGTTGGTGAAAGAGCCATTTGTTCAGAACCCTTCCACAAAACCCCTCTTCAATAAAATCAGCTGTTATTTTAACATGTACCTTCTACCAACTCCATCATCTTGTCTTTAAAAATGTTAGTTTACCACTGAATGATCTGCAACAAAAACTGATTCTCCAGCTGCTGCTGTGATATGATTACTTAATATCACAATCTTTATTACTAAATATGTTGTTAATACAGTTTCTATTTAAAAAGTACTCAACCCTTTGGATGTTATATGGTTTTATTGCCATCATAAATCAACCATGGTCAAAATAAATTCCAAACTAGCCTAAATGTCAAAGTGAAATTACATTTCAAGAGTAATACCAATTAATTAATTGATTCGTTTTTATCAAATTCTTTATATTCTGTGCAAGTGTTTATTTTACTTTGGCATGGAATTGAAGACTTTTTTTTGGTCAAAAAGGCCAATTTATACTGACAACAATAAAAGTATAAAACATCCATGTGAGTGAATACTTTTTACAGGCACTGTAATTCTTCAACCATATAAAACCAGCCAGGCTGAATGGCTACCAAATATTATCTGTAGCAAAAAACAAATCACTCAAAATATCCAAAAGAATTACACGTGGGTCCAAACACTGAAGTGCACCCTTCTTAACGTGCAGTAAACATATTTTTTGTATTTACTTTTTTAAGTATGAGTTCCATTTGAATAAACCAAACATTACTAGTGCTCATTTTGTCTATAATGCTTCAGGGGGAAAAAACATCATCCTAAGTGTCCATTCTCAGCAAAACTGTGAGAAAAATGACCTGAATTAGTTTGTTCACAAATATTTTCTTTTGATGATCTGAAATAAGAAGCATCTTTGGTCATCCCTGCAGTTCTTACGTGGTACAACCAATAAAATGTGTATTTATACGCAAACAAACAGCAAAACACCTCCAAACCCAGCAGTGTGTTTGTAGTGAAAAGATTCTATTGGCCAAGTGTCATTTTTAAAAGAGTTGTTTTTAAACTAAACCTCAGACTCAGTTTATTGTGTGTTTCACTGATTTCACTTTGTGTGTGTGTGTGTGAGAGAGAGAGAGAGAGAGATATTTGATAACTAGTTGTGGCCACAATCCCACCGTGCTCTGGGTTCTAGCTCTGTGAGAAGTACTCAAGGACAAGGCGAAGGTGTCCCAGGCGGTCTTTGAGGGAGGACAGGGACAGGAACGTTGTTTGGTAGGCAGGGTCGAGCTGAAGGACGGACAGCAGCCACCAACACCACGTCGGACCATTAGCCAAGGCCTGGAGAAAGTTCATTACGATAAAACACAGGCATAATCATTACAAAGAGCTTTATCCAAACAGATAATATAGAAAAATCATGTTTATCCATGATTTTATTACTCAGAGTAAATGTGTCATTATTGATTATCCTCAGCAGGCTGTGAACACTTTTCCACATACTTCCACTGCTCTTCTGTAAGTGTGCACTGGCACCAGACTACCAGTGACTTTGAACAACGTGATCTCAGAAGCTAAACAGGGTCGGACCTGGTTTGTACTTGGATGGGAGACTGTTAGGAATGCCGTGTGCTGTAAAAAAATAGGCCTTGTGCCCACAGTGGTTACTAGCAATAGTAAACCTTTGACCGTCATAGGTTGCCTTCTAAAAGGATGTCAAATCATCATCACCAGCCAGTGGTGTAAATCTAAATCCACTATTTTACATAAACTATGAGTTTAACTCTCATTAAGAAAGTTTTTCCCTGTAGTCAAAATAAAGAAAGACAGCTAAATTCTACCTTTATAAAAGGTGCCTTTAATCTTTTTAAAAATATCAGATACATAACTGTATCTGTGAAGAATTCCCAATCAAATTTAACTTCCAATTAAAATAAAGAAGTTGGATCATGAACAGAACATCACTAAAACTCGATTAAAAAAATTGCAAAACTATTGCAAATATGTAAGATCCCTACATACATTTGGGATACAAAGACKTACCAAAGTGCCCACATTAAAATATTTTAATTACAGTATCATCCAGTTCCTTCTGTTAATATCTGATACTTTTGAAACATGCAAGTGATTTCCAAATGCACAACAGGTTGTTTATCGGTTAAGCAAAATTCACGTTTGCACATAATAGAAGCAAAAATGTACTCCGGTACTAGCACAATAAAAGCTAGCAATACATGACAAGAATAACTCTCAAATACAGGCAAAACATACTTGTAACATGAACAAAAAATAGATAAGATCAGTGCAGATACATGGTCAACAAGATGGTTTACTTAACAATAACTAAGTATTATTCAAGTCTGTTGAAAATTCCTGTACTTTTTCATATTGCAATGTACATCACAGGGTTGGAAAAAGCCCTAGTTGAGGGTTAGATTTACTGTTGCAATTATGTTATTGGACAAACCTGAATGTCCTCCTCCTTTTCCGGCATGCTGCCACGCTGTCTGTCAATCTGTTCGCGGATGCGGCTGCTTAGACGTTGGTACCAGTCCTGGGCCTGCTGGTACACGCTGTCATGCAGATCTTGTAAATTTTCCAGCTCACTACCATCCACCTTAGATAGACACAGGACAAGATTTTTTAAATGGGGACAAAAGCCTAGTGTTAATATTTTATCTTTTTAGATTTGAAGAAGTTGAGGTGTCCAAAACCCAGACCTTGAGGTCTTCCAGGTACTCGATATCAGCGGTGTGGTAGCCATCCCTCTGACCTCTCTTGAGGACTCGGAATCTGCTGCCACCCACTGTTTCCACATAAGATCGTCCATCTGGCAAAAACTCCAGATCAAGGATCTCCAACATGCAGCCATAATCTGCAAATCTGAGGAACACAATATGGAACATTCTTAAAGTTATACACCTATAATTCAGCCCTTTCTACTCAGCACAGGAAGCTTGTTTTAAGAACTATGCATGCAAAAATTAGCTAAAACGACTCTAAAATATTTTCCCTGTTCAGCCAAATTGCATTTCAGCCTATATGTCCACAGATGGTTCAGAGGTCATTTTGGAATGTGTTTAACCTCAAACTGCTCACTGCATCCTGAACCCTGTCTATTAAAAAAAAATCAATTTCTTAATTGGTGAGTTGAAAGAAAATACACATGTGACATGAGTAGGTGCAGTGACGGCTGGTATAAGTGGGCTAGTAGGGCTAAGCCCTCCCTGGTGTTCACAATAAAAATGTTAAAATAAACAATGTTATAAAATTATAACATAATTATATACAATTTATAAATAACAACTTAAAATAAACAAAATTTAAAAATAATATATCTTATTTTGTGAAATTTACAAAGAAAACTGGTGCCAAACCACCTGGGAAGACCCCAGGGTTGTTCTGCAGGGCTAACTTTTCACAGCTCATTTTCATGTAATGTGTGTCCTGGTTCAGAATGATTGACAGGCGTCTCGCCATGCCCCCTCGGTTTGTGGCTCATTGGGGCTAATTCTGTTCAGCCCAGGATCAGCCCAAAGCCACAGGATTCAGCCAATTAGAGTGGACGTACAAAAACATGCCTCCAGTGTGAGTGTATGTGGGCGTGGTTTGGTGTAGACTGAGTAGATACGCTGCCAGGCAGCAAGATTAACATGTTAAGAAATGGAGAAGCTGAACAACTCAGCTAAGTTTCTTAAAACAAAAAAGTGTGTTAGACCAGAACACACCAGGAGAAACTTCAAGTAAAAGAGCTTGGACCAGATCTGCTGGACATGAAAAGCAGCAGAACAAAGACAGAGGGAGAGTTTACACTCCATTATTTTCCAAAAACTGGATTAGCAACAGGCTAAGCTAACTGCTTTTAGCGAGGATAATGGTTTGTTTTGATTCATTGCCTCGTTTTTAAAGCATCAGGATCTGACCCAGCATGGATTAAAACAGGTAAGAAAAAAGTTTAAATACTTTTGCAATGCTTTTAATCATAGTAGTGCTATATAGTTGTGCTTTTAATCATAGTATAATATA